AGCCAGATGCGAGGTGTCGTTGGCGGATTGGTGCGGGGCTCGAATTGGATAGAGACCGTTAATAGACGGACCCTTGAGAAGAGTTCGGCGGGTCTTCCGATCCTTGAGTTCATAACCATGAGAGGAGAAGGTAATAAGGCAATCATTGTCATGCGTGAGTTTGTAAACAGAAATCAGATTAAAGGATAAGTTTGGAACCAGATTTAGGTGAGTGAGTCGAAGGCTACCTTGCGGGGTAGGGAGGAGGCCATTACCAATGTTTTGAATGGGAATTTGGTGACCGTTACCTAGAGTGACTTGAGTGTTGCCTCTGTACGGTTGAGATGTTTGAAGATTGTTCGGGTTGGAGGTAAGGTGCGAGGACGCCCCGCTATCAAGAAACCATTCGGTGGAGGAATTTGTCGCCGGGGAGGTGAATAAGGCAGCGGTAGGCTGTTCGGAATGGTAGTTGTCGTCGTGTCGATGCCAACATTTGACTGCGGAGTGACCAGTCTTGCCGCAAATTTGGCAAGTTATGGCTGATCTTGCGGTTCTTGAGTCGCGGTTGTTGCTCGGGTTGGATCTGGTATTGGAGGAATTTCGTCCGCGATTGGAGGATCGGCCACGACCGCGACCGCGAGTGGCTGCGAGCGCCGTAGTGTTCCCAGCGAGTTGAAGGGATTGAAGCTCCCGGGTGGCTTCGTGAGCAAGATTAAGCTCCTCGCTGCAGAGGAGAGTATAGAGTTCGTCAAGATCGAGAGGTTGACGATTGGTACGTATCGCCGTTTTGAAAGCTTGATATGTTTGGGGAAGGCCGTCCAAGGTGTAGTGGATGACTTCTTCAATAGGTATGGTTGCGCCGGCGGCAGCAAGAGCGTCAACCTTGGCCTTGATGTCAAGAAGGTATTGGGACATCGTTTTGTCTTTCATGGTGAGATAGTGAAGTTCGTGCCGGAGTTGAATGATTCTTGATCTTGTGCTCGATTGAAGACGTCTATCGAGAATGGCCCAGATTTCTGCACAATGGTCGGCGGAGAGAACGTATGGCAGAATTGTGGGTGAGATGATGGAGTACATGGCAGCAGCAAGATTCTGGTCTTGTAAGAGCCAGGCTTCATAATGGGGATTAGGAGCGGTGGTGCCATCGGCAGTCGTCGTTTGGGAAGGCGGAGGGGAGGTGCCGTCCAAGAATCCTTGATAGCCGTTAGCTTTGAATAGTTTGAGTACCTGTGAGCGCCATAAGGGGTGATTGTCGGCGTTGAGTGGTTGGGCGACAACGCTTTTGAGGTGGCTCATTAAGAATTTTAATGATGCCGGAATTGAAGGTGGGTTGGACGGTGGTGTTTCTTCCGCAGAGGAGAGGCTGGGGGAGGAGGTATTGGATGAGTTAGCCATGAGCGGCAAGAAGGAGCCTAACGGTGAAGAAGTCGCAAGAACGGGAGGAGGGAAGGAATCAGTGCTCTGATACCATGTTAGGAAAGAGCAAGACAACAGAGAACAGAGAAGGTAAAAGAGAAAATGTATTTTCCATTATGTGATGCCGGACTACAGTGAAGTATTTATAGAGTAGGGAATAACAAGAAGAGTAACTAATTACAAGAAAGTACAGCGTCTAATGAACGCAGTAAATATAATATATTTCTGTTTGCTAACAGCCCCCGTCAAACTGATGGAGGGGGAGCGACGATCAGTTTGTTGCATAAAAGTTTGAATCGTCGTGTGGGTAGAGGCTTGGTGAAGATGTCGGCAAGTTGATCGTTGGTGGAGATGTGATGAACGGTGAGATGCTTGGACTTGATGCTATCACGAATGAAGTGGCAGTCGACGTCAATGTGTTTGGTTCGAGCGTGATAGATCGGGTTGTTGGATAGAGCAATAGCGGAGGTATTGTCGCAATATACGGTGGTAGGAGCCATTTGTGGAATGTGAAGTTCTTCAAGTAGTTGACGAAGCCACAGCACTTCAGCAGCTTCAGCGGCCAATGCACGATACTCGGCTTCGGTGGAGGAGCGAGCAACTGTTGCTTGTTTCTTAACGCGCCAGGAAATCAGCGATTTGCCTAGAAAGTTGCAGTACCCGGAAATTGATTTCCGGTCTTGAATATTGTTTGCCCAGTCGGCGTCCGAGTATCCCTGCAAGGTTAGTTCATCGCGATAAAGAGGAAGACCATGATCGGTTGTACCTTGAATATACCTGAGTAGATGTGTTAGAGCATGGAAGTTGCTGTTGAGCGGCTTGTGCATTGCTTGGCTGAGTTGGTGAACAGCGTATTGTATGTCTGGTCGGGTGAGAGTGAGGTACTGTAACGATCCAATTAGTTGACAATAAAGATGAGGATTTGCAAATTTGTTGGTTGGATTGCTGTTGATGGAGGATTTTCCCGACGAAGGATTGGCTACTGGCTTAGCGTTCTGCATGCCGGCTTTAGCCAATATGCGATGGGCATACTGTTGCTGATGAAGCAGAATTCCATATTTGGTGTGAACGGTCTGGATTCCTAGGAAGTGAGCAAGAGAACCTAGATTCCGCATCTGGAATTGCTTGTGTAAGCTTGTAAGAAGACGGTCAATTTCGGTAGGTGAGTTTCCGGTTAGAAGGATATTGTCGACGTAGATGAGGATGTAGAGCCGAGTTGATTTCGATTTGTAAGTAAGAAGTGAGGGGTCAGCCGAGCTTATAAGAAATCCGAAAGCTTGAAGGTGAGTAGAGAGAGTGGCATACCATTCCCGTGGAGATTGTTTGAGGCCATAGAGCGCCTTATTGAGCTTGCAGACGTAGGTGGGATGAAGAGCATCTTGAAATCCTTGGGGTTGTTGCATGTAAACGGTGTCCGAAAGTTTGCCGTGCAGAAAGGCGTTGGAGACGTCGAGCTGATGAATCTTGATTTGAATTACATTATGCCCATTTTATTTCAAATCAAATATCTCTTGAATGAATAAAACATATTCTAACATTTATATATATACTTTGTTGATCTTAAAAAGAAGCCAATGTATTCTTAAGGTTGGTAGATTTATTTGTGCATGGCTAAAATTTCATTTGAGATAATTTTTTTATTATTTTTAAAGCAACTTTTTAATATAAAATTTTTTGAATTTAAAATTTTGTATAAAAAATTACTTTTAAAAACATTGAGAGAGTTGTCCCAAATAAAACTTAAGGTTTCGTTTGGGAAGGTTGCTTTCAAGTTTCTTGAAGCAGCTTTTTAATACAAAAAATTTAAATTTTATACTACAATGCTACTTCAAGAATCAGTAAAAAAGTTGTCCCGAACAAAACTTATGTTTGATTTAAGCAGCTTTAATCCCCTAACCCCAACCAAATAGCACAAAATGAAACTCTCTTAAGCCTCATGATTTTATGTTTCATCTTTCATATCTTTTAATACTCACTAAAAAAAAAGATAAAGAATTTAAGTGGTACGATTTATAAACCCACATCAACAATGAGAATGTGAAAGAAGAATAATTCAAGTACGAAATCTCCTCAGAAAAATCTCTTTAAATATAATACATGTTCTCTCAAAGTACCAACTTCCTCTATGCTCCATTGCTATGGTGTCATCAACATGATTGTTATTATTTATACCGATATTCATATTGAAAGGTTGAACAGATGATTTTCTAATATTGAGCTGACCTAATACCAATAGATGTTTAGTCATAATTATGAGTTAAATTATCAGTTAAAATTTAGTATCTTATAATATATTGCAACAATATTTGTTTATTAAAAATATTTAAGATTCAGAATTTATAGCAATTGAAATTCATGAAGAATGACTGACTTCATATTTTTAGCAACTCCTAAGATGTCTTTTATCTCGACTATTAATATTTGAAAGATCATTCCAATTGCTATATGTAAGACTGGGCTTCTACCATCATAAATGATATCACAAATATTTCCCCTAACAAAAAAGTCATGTTGAAGATATTCACCCTCAAGAGGATTTGCTTTATTTTGAAAGTTTCAAGAGGACTTCTTTTGGAGCACTCATCTAGGACTGAAAAAGGAATTCGCCAGATGAGATCAATGGCTCTACTCGCCCAAATCCACTAATGAGTTCGCCCTGCACAAGGCGAATAAGAGATTTCTCGACAAACTGCCACTCGCCGCTACCTCTCTCACTAGCGAGAGATTATTAGGTGCGGAGTGCAGACGGGGAGAACCGTTTGCACACTAGTATAAAATCCAGCTAGGTACTATTCGGTACCGCTTAATACCCTGTGTCTGTGCAGACGGTGCTCTCCCCGTCTGCACTCCACACCTAATAATTATTCCTCACTAGCCCTCTCTCCAAACATTAAAACTTGCCCAGCTTAGCTATAAAAAAATCCTACTAAAAAAACTCACCATTCAACCATTACAATTCAACCTAAAACTCTGCATTCCTACACATCTCACCAGCATTTTTCCTCAAGCCAACCCAAGATCTTATACACAAGTCATAAGTCATTAGTCACATCAGGCCTCTGGCAAAAGAGATTATTTTGTGCGGACGCTAAACGCAACTCTACATCTAGAGACAACCAGAATGAACAATGTCGGCAAAACTGAGAGCGGTACCGACTTGGCTCATTTTATTTGGTCTCTGGACGACATTCGACATCCACAAAACAATTTCTCCTAGCAAAGACTCACTTGCATGCTCACCAAGAACTTACCGCAACCGAGCTCGCCTATCAAGAGATGACACGTCTTTAGATTACATGCAGCATTGTACAAGTGTTCATATAACCCTCGTCTTTAGATTACTGAGAGCTCGCCTATGTAGCTTGTGATAATATACTTTTTATCAGCATATCTTTTTCATATAACCCTCAAAGTCCTATAAATAAAGAATTATAACACAATTGAGAGAATATGAATTTTCTCTAATAGTGAATACTCTGCCTGTTTGAACTCTATAATTCTTTTTCTCAACTCTCTCTGCTCTCCGTATACTCACCATTCTTACATACATCTTCTAACTTACCAAGTTGCCCTGCTAGCAAAATCAAACATCATCTACAAACAAATTCAAATTCAACAAAGCTCACTTCTGATAATGAGTGAATACCACTTCTTTCAATGTACAACGTGATTCAGGCCATGAAACCTCAAAGAACTAAGGAAAAGAACAGCGAGTCTAAAGCCCAAGGAAATAGACCCCTTGGCGACAAAAGGAATAATAGTTGATGTAACACATATTGGATAACCTAAATTTTACATAAATAAGTCTGTTTCCCCCCTTATTCCCTCTTAATCTTAAGGTCAAAATTGATGCAAACTATCCACAAAGATGATATAGTAAGTAGAAAAGCATTCCAGTTGTAGCAACGTAGACTTTTTTTTTACAAAAAGTTCTATAGCAAACCAGCGTCTTTGAGAGCTTTTTCAAAATCTTCCTCGCTTCGCCAGTTATCTACCTGGAAATGGCACAAGCAATTGACATTACAGAAAAAAAAGAGCATAAAACTCCAAGCAATATTACCTCTGGTATAGTGTGGTTAAAATGGCGCTCAATTTTCTCCATGAGCATCCGGTCCCTTTCACTGCACATCAAGTTGAATGCAGCACCTGTTGCCCAACAAATTAAGATAGCATTCAATTAGTTTCTTTTACTATCATTCCAATCATCTTTAGTATCTGTTAATGCTTCTGTTCAACTGATAATGAAATAAGAAATCTTTCTTTCCCAATGATCCACACGAGAAAATGACAAGGTAAACCTGCCTTAGATCAGATAACTTCAAAGATAACAAGTGTGATTGCTCGATTCAACTAAGAAATCCAATTTTATCAATAGATCAGTGATGATGATAGATAACAAACATTTAGGCTTCGTTTGGGATGGCTTTTAAACTCTTTCTTCAAGCAACTTTCAAGTACAAAACATTTAACTTTTGTACTAGAAAGCTGTTTTAGGAAACAATATGAAAGCCATCCCAAACAAAGCCTTAGATTCAGAACAAAAAAGTGACTAAAAAATCGTCAGCAGTTAAATATTCACTGGAAAAGTGACTATAAATTCATCAGTAGTTAAACCTATTGGTTTGATCAAGTCAGTCGGGGTATGATTTGGAATACAAGTGGATAGGTTTGGACATAAGAAAACTAAATACATAATTAGCATTTTTTACAAAGAGAGGACGTTTCAATTTTCAAGAGACTTAAAATGCAACTACAAGAGATTAATAGATTATTAAAAGAGAATTTTAAGGATATATTATTTTAAAAGAGAGCTATGCATAAAATAATAAAGTATATTATAGATTGATTAAAAAAATGAATGGGAGTTAGGTAAAATACATAATAATAAAGCTTCCTATGAGATAGCATATTCAATTAATATGAAATTAAAAATTTAATTAAATTTTTAAACAACAACAACGATATCAAGCCTTTAACCCACTACATGGGGTTGGTTACATGAATCTTTTTTTCTACATTGTGTTCTATTAAGAATCAAATTCTTATTTAAATCTAATAAAGAAAGGTCCTGTCCTACAATTTCTAAACAAGACTTTTTATGTCTACCTCTATATTTCATTATTTCTTAACATAAGCAAATTCTAATACATCTACTCTCCTAACAAAGTCATCGGAAGGCCGATGTTTTTTATATGCCAAGGGGTGCCCCACCTTGTGGGGCTCAGGGGAGTTAATATTCACTATAAAAGGAGGAGAAATCATGGGAGAAATTATTAGGAAAGTTTATTTAGAAAAAGATGGTTGTTTGAATTACATTTGGGAGGGAATTAGGAAGATTTTATTAAGGGAAAGAGGCTGGTTTGGGGCTGATTTAGATGAAATTAATTAGGAGATATTTCCTAATTGAAGAGTACATATTTGGGGGCTGATTTGGAGGGGATTTATTAGGAATTATTTCATAATTGAAGAAGATAAATTTGGGGGCTTATTTGTGAGAGAAATAATTAAGAAAATATGACATAGTTGGGGCTGATTTGGGAGGGAGTTAGGGGAGGGCTGTTTTGGTATTTTATTGTTTATTGTTTGCTTTAAATAGTTGATTTGCCCTAGGGTTAGGATATGTTATGTGTTTGCTGAATTTAATTTGTTCTTAGGTTGTGAGGGATCTAGCCACCAGTTAGAGATTTGGGAGAGCCGGATCTTTCTCTCCAACTAATAAGAAGTTAAACAATCGGGAGCAAAATATTTTAGTAGTCATATTTAAGAGCCAATGATATGCTTAAGATACTAATAATTATAGAGGAATCAAACTTATAAGACATATAATAATAATATGGGAGATAATCACAGGGCATACATTCAATTTTTAAAAAATAATCATAAAGTTTATGTTAGACAAATCTATTATAAAAGCATTTTTTTGTGTTCATACAACTAATGAAAAAGTAAAAATACTAGAGTAAGGATCTTCATATTTTTACTGACATGAACGAAGTTCATCAAGCAACCATGAGAATTAAGTTGGTGTGCATTAGGAGAAAAAAGTATGTTAAAATAATTAAAATAGGTGTTAAGGAGCAACAATTGGCATTAAAATTAATTGTGGAACAACCAAATAGTTTTTAATAATATAATTAAAGCAAGACTATAATGATTGATATTTAATCCACATCATTTTATATTTTTTGGGGGGAAAATTAGGGGACATCATTTTATATTAGTTATGAAGATGTTTATTAAGAATATTCAAAATAAAATTCCTTGATGTGTGTTGCTCATATATGTATAATTAAAATCGACTAGACGTTATTAATGGCATGTTACAATCATGAAAAAAGTAATTTGAAGATGGAATGGCTTGAAATAAATTTACAGCTGAATAAAGAAACAAATCACATATCAAATAATAATGAGTGCATTCAAAATTAAACCATATGCAGGAATTAAATGTTAAATGTTTTTATGAAGCCCGGTTCTCAATAGCCTGCAACTATGCCTACAGATTACTCAAGATTTCACAATTCAATCACTCACTCCTGAGCTCCTTGTAGGTAACGAAACCCTCACAATCTCTTCTTCACAAGATGACTGCACCCTCACCTTGTTATGATCAATAGAATCCCCGCTAAGTCTTTTAAAAAAGAAAATGGGATAGTAAGATTAAAATGTCATACATATTTGTATTGAATACGTCTACAACATATAACAACAAATTTAGTTTATACCTTCACACAATTAAGATCTCAAGCCTTCTTTTCTTTTAAATTTTGAAAAGAGGACCGAATTGATCCCCTAACTTTTTCTAAAGGACCAAAAATAATCCCTAACTATAAAAAAGTATAAAATTTGGTCCATTGACTCTTTAAATAGGAACAAAACGAGTGCTTTCGTTGGATCATTTTGGTCTCTATACAAATAGTCAACGTACTAAAATGGGACATTTAAATAATAGGGTACCATTCTGATTCTTCATAATGAGTTAGGGCCTTCGGCGACTATTTTGATCCTTATCTCATTTTGAAAATTAATTGAAAATTTTGACATATAGACCATTTGAAGTAAATTATCGGTAAAGTGGATTAGCCTAATAGAACAAATAATAAATCGCATAATGATTAATTTGAAATAGTTGCTACCTGACTTATCAAGTTATTGATGACCCAATAAACTTAATGAAAACTCACTAACAGCTTAAAAGTTAAGTGTGTTTACGAGATGACTGATTTGATTTAAGTTGAGATGTTAATTTAATAGCAAATTGATAACTTTATTGGTGACCCTTAAAGCCCCAATATAAATTTGAAAATCAGAGTATGCACATATCTAAAACAAGAAATACGATTTTGACCCTCAAGTTAATAAGATATCAAGCCTCTTCTTCCCTTTAGATTTTGGACACGTGTAGATCAAAGAACAACAAGTGTGACTTTGGCAAGCAAATAAGATCTCAAGCTTTTCTTCTTCTCTTTTGGATTTTGAGAACCAAAGTGAAATTTCTGAAATATAATGGGATGATCAACAAAAATAAGTGAAACAGGTGTCCTATTTATTATTATTATTTTTTGAAATCACAAGATACGAATTATTGGTTAGGTAGGCTAGATTAATAGGAAAAACAATAAATCGCAGAACGACTTATTAGAGTTTTGAAATAATTATTGCTTTACTTATCAGTTTATCGGTGGCCTACAAAGAGCTAATGATGAGCTGATAAAGCCCTAAAATCGGCCCAATAAACTTTGTGACAGCTCATTAATAGTTAAATAAAAAACTAAATGTTTACAAGATGAGTGATTCGATTTATGTCGAATCGTTAATTTAATGGCGAGCTGATAACTTTATTGGCAACCCATAAAGCCCAATATAAATTTGAAGTAATTTTTGATATTCTTTTTTAACCTCTATATTTTCAAAATATATGCATGAATTGGATCAAAATAGGATTTAATTTAATAAAAAGCCTATACATATATGTTTCAAAATAGCATTTAGCATTCATTTTTAAGTTGACTCTTTTGGCTTGAGCTTGATCTGTCAAAAGACATTCGAGCCTTATATAAAAAGAGAAAATTACATTTATCCTAATTTCTATAGCGCATATTCAAGCATGGGCTCCAAGAGACTTAATCTTGTATTATGACATGAAACTAAAAGAAGCTGTTAGACATTTCTAACATGTATTTGTTATGATCAAAATTGAGTACTCCACTAGGTGAACTCATGGGGTCAACAATCTCTTTATTTTTTTATGATAAACCTACGTAAAAATTAAAAAAAAATAATAATTGTATGGTTAACCGGCCCCTCGAGATATTGCACATAAAATTTAAAACAGTTCTACAAAAAAATAATAGACATAAATGCTCAAAATAACTACAATGAAGTTAAACATGATAATTAATCAAAGCCACACATTGCTCAAAATTTATTTTCTTCCTCTCCTCCATTTCTTTCCCTTTTTTCCATCAACAAAATAATAATAAGGGGGTACCAACAATACACCAAAACAAGTTAAGAATAAATAAATAACATCATCATCGTACTCATAAGGATTATGATAGACAAATAAAAATCCTCAACATCATAAAAAAAGGTATGAGATTTACATCATTGTCATCAAGCGGTTACTCGTTATTAGTGATAAACCATCAATGCTTGTCTGCGATAGATCATGCTAACAATTTTGAGAATCTCATATAATCCTCTTTGCATTGAATAGAAGAATGGGCATGATAAACCGAGTTTCACATGATGATATAACCTATGGAAATCAATGTGATTGAATGAATGAGGAAAATTGTTCAAAGGATATCAAGATAGATTTAGATAAAGATACTTTGAGATCAAGACACTCATTAATAAGCTCAAATTAAGGGAGAAATTATAAGCTGGATTTTGAAGTTTTAGAAACCTTCTCATAATAGAAAAATGATCACCAAAAATATTAAAACTTCAAAGGCATGCGAGTAAGCACATAATAGGTGGCGAGAGAAAGAGTTGGGTTAAGATGCTAGGAACATCTAGCTTTATATGGAATATAATGCATTGAACATATCATCCCCGAAGAGAGATGAAATTTGAACTAAGAATATGATATATCGATGGAGTTTGATGCAAAATAATATTTTTGTCAAATCCAAACTTGT